TATATATATGTGTATAGAGCTTATTATATATAGCTTTAGCATAATTATTTTGCTTCGCACATTAAGATTTTAGCGTAAATTAAATGATACATCTAAAAGTGAAAATTGATAGTTGCGTCAACGATGCTTTCGCTTAAGTTGATAGTGCGCATAAAGACGATAATAAAATTTGTTTAATCCTTAAAGTGAAATTACATCTTCCTAAATGTATCTACTCGCGCATATAAGCGATACATTATCGCGGCGCATTATCAAGATACATAGGTAAAATAGATAGATTTCAAAATGAAGATGAAGTATTTCGATAGAATTAGTAATTGCACGTTAGAAAGAAAAATCTATAACGATTCATTGCATGGAAGAGAATTACGAAAATTAGAAGTAGGACGTATTGATATGTATTAGCGGGTAAATATTCGTACAACTCGTAATACGAAATTAGATAGACGTCCCGAGTTAACAGTAGAGTCCTAAGAACAAAACAAAGCATGTCCGCGTACAATGCACGACAAGAAACACCATTAGCATGTGATATTGAAGTTAGTTTCCCGATAGCAATTGACATCCTTTCCCGATCCACACGCCCAGCAGTATAAATTACACGAGATAGTCGAGATAAATAGAGAAAATCGCGAGTCTCAAAAAAAAATTAGTTCAAATGTCTAGATTCTTAGCTATTTAAAGTTACAAAGTGAATATCAAATTGCTAAGTCAAATTATTATTTGCTTGATTGTTGCGTTTGTTGTTACCTTCATTTCGCAAAAGCATGCACTTAGCCAACATTCACTGGGTTGTTGTCCATTATACTTTTGTCGAAATTAAAAGTATTAAAAACGATCGTAAAATCAATCAAAAGTGTATATACATTCAAAAATAAAATGTAAATTTAAAAAATTTTCAATAAAAGTAAAATTTAAAATTATTCAGATTTTAGATCAAGATTTTAAATCATTTAAATCATTTTTTTAAACTTGATATTAGAAATCAAAACTTGTATATATAAGTTTAAATAA